ATGTGTATGTGAGTGACGTAACATTGGTCTTCGTCTGATAGATAAGCACCGGCGAGTGGGACGGAGCATTGATCAATGGCATAATTGACCTTGACACATGTCACATATATATATATATACTGATAATAATTAGTATGTGAACGACTGGACAAAATTTCCCTGGAAGCACACGACCGGTTTCGCGGTTCTTGCCGCTCGTCAGGCATGCGTATCCGGTAATCTTTTGCCAGTTCATTCATACACTTGTACCCAGGAAGTGTATTTTTGTCACAACAACTTTGTTTGCAACGCCGGGTGACCATTGGGTAGACAGCTCTTTCAGAGCCAGTCCATTGGAGAATGAATGCTATGATTCGATGCTTTGTAAGTAGGTTAGATGCGACTAACCGCAACAGACTTGACCTGATGGTCTTTGTAGAATATTTTAAGGTAACTGTCTTTATCGGACCTAGTGGGGCAACCATTTCGCTCCGAAGGCTTAGACCTGTGCTACGCATGCGGGTCCGACAATTGCCGCGTCGTATGTATGTATATTTTTACACCGGCTTCGGAAGAAGCGCAGTATCAACGCGGAACATGATCGTGTATGAGAACTTGGCTGTGATTGAGTAGAAATGGCTTAAAATAAGGACAATGAGGATCTTTTGTGTTTTCACCGAGCACCTTTATCCGTTTGTATCTATTTATTTTTGATTTATAGTACGGGATTTCAAATGGGGAACCGTGAAAAATTGAATCCACTGATTTCTAAGATGATCCTTTAACCAACCTACAACAATGAACTCCTCGACTCTTATGGGTCTTCAGTCTACAGTTTCTACACCCAGCAATGATCACTACACCGTACACAATCATGTCTCCCCAGCCATCCCCAACCTCACCTTCACCCCCTCTCTCGGGTTCTTCATATGATCGCAATAATAGTAGCGCCTCAGATCGAAACTGCCGCTGTTCTCTCGTGTCCGATCTCGACTACTGTCCAAGTCTCACCGAATCCTCTACCAGTTAAAATCGTTCGTAGTACCCGATGCCCATTCAAACTAGCGAAATTCAATGTGCGCACTCTGATGCGTATAGGACAACAACCGTGTTTAGCTCGTACACTCGAGACTCCAGCCATCAATGTGTGTTGTATAAAAAACTCGCATTCAAGACTCCAGCTCCATTATCCGATTGACGTCCCCATCAAACCCATCTGTGAAGTTTCACTTACGTCTCTGTGGACCCCGAGGCTGCGGCTGTCAGTCTTGCTGGTTTTGTCTTGGCTTTCAGTGAGAGAACTGAATCCGCGCTCCTCGATTGGATTCCAGTCGACATTAGGTTGTGCGCAGTGAGACGCAGAGGTTCGTGCAAAGTAAGCGGCCATCATCCCGATATACTAAACTTCTTTGTTGTATCAGCGTACACCCCAACGGATTGCAGACAAAGATGAATTTTACCATAATCTATTCAACCTCTTGCGTAAAGCGAGTCTGGTTGATATCGTGATTTTTGGAGGAGATATGAATGCTAGAGTTGGTCGGCTGACCTCGAGTGAGGCGCACCTGGGAGGTCCTATCGGACTAGATTCCTATCGCTCGGAAAACGGGGAATGGCTGTTGGCTGCATGTTCCGACCATTGCCTATCCCTCGCCAGTACGAACTTCAGACGCTCCACCTGCCGGTACGCCACTTGGCGTCCGCCCTCCTCGAATCAGAGGAGGACGCAGATCGACCACATTGGTATACGCTACAAATGGTGGGGTTGGAAACAAGACTGCCCATCGTACTGGAGCACTCCCCTCGAATCCGACCGTGCATTAGTATAAGCCTAACTGTCTTTCAGAACGCACTAGCCAAAAATTTAGAACCAGCTCCACCCGATCACATTTACCTGCACTGGTCGCTTATCGAGAATGTTCTGCATGATACTGGCTTAGTTAGTTGTGGTCTGACACGTCATGCCGCGACTCCCTGGACTTCTGTGGTGTCTCTACTCCTCGACGCACGTCGGTCAATTCCTACCAGCAGAAAGCATAATGAAATACGACACGCCACGAGTCGTAACCTCAAGCCCACACAGAGACCACGAAATCTAGTGGAATCAACGCGCCATGTGAAACACCAGTAAGATGTTCCATCTCATCCGGGTCACCGGTAGGAAATCCTTGGGTGTCAGCGAAACGATCTGCAAAGCTGACGGCTCTCCCATTCATAATCAACAGCGCCTTGTTGCACGCTGGGCGGAGCATTTTGTTCTACAGTTCCGCTCTTCACCAGCGTCGGTTTCTCACTCAGTGGTTACGGCACACGTCCCATAGTAACAGCATAGTTAAAGGGGTAAACCGACCAATCACTATCAGTTCATCCATATGCGCGGTTATCTATCGGTAATACATATGCGGTAGTACATATGCGTCCTGGTGGGACACAGGATAGATACTGTTTAGAATAAAATGAAACAGCCCTAACGAAAGTTCAAGGGGACGTGGATGAATCTCTATAAACAATTGAACATAAAAATCGATGCAACAAGAATAATAATTAAATGCATTGGAAGGAAGAGGAACAGGTCACAAGTGCAGACAGCTTTTCTGGTGCCGACATGTCACTAGAAACCAGCATGCTGTCGAATATTTCTTCAAGGTACGGGAGCAAGGAATAGAACAGGAGTAATGCTCGCATGCTGACAGTTGTGGCTATATGGGTTACATCATAGCATGGTCTATATAGATGAAAGCATAAGTACTGTCAGCTGTTGGCGAATGGACTACAACCTATCCATTGAAGTGTATCAAAACAACAGGTACTTCCATTACAAAGTGGGATGGGCATCAAGCGGAGGAAGAGGAATAGTATAGAATTGAGCGGGTATTAAATTGACTAGCGTGATGAATTTTTCCAGATTGGTTGGTCTTTACACCGGTGAAACAAGTTTAGTTTTGATGGTCTCGGATGCACTCTTTTTATTTGTAAGAAAAAGGTAGGTCGACATTATTGAAACGGCATTCAAACCCCTTTAAGAATCCGTATCAGTATTTCTTATCATTTAATCGCCGTTTATTATAGTCCAATTGTAAATTGAACTTAATCGCTTATCCAGTTTATGCGAATTGGTAATTGAAGGTGTGTGTACACAAACGCTCATTCCGACATATCGTTTACGGTTATGGTTTCGTTTGCTTTTCCATTCGAGTAATTCGCAGGAAAGAGTCCCGGCTGATTCCAAATCACGTCTTCAGTTTCATTTTGTCGCGTACTTTTTGCAGTTGGTTATCGATTTTGTTTGCTTGACTATTGACTTTCGCTCGACTTCAACCATTTTAAAACTAATCTCCGAACGTCAGAGAGAAGACCGGAATAGAAGTGTTAATTCATGTTTTCCATCTTTTTTTTAGATGAATCTCAGGTAACCGACCGAAAAAGCGAAAAAAAATGCACGAGGCTTTCTTGCCAATTTGTTTATTACGTGACTATCCTTATGCGCTCGAATGCTTGGCATGCTACGACAATTTTCTGCTGGTTGGAACAAAACAGGGTTTACTACTGATCTACGAGCTTACTCCAAAATCACTCACTCACAATACGTACTTTATCCCACCCATTACATCTCGTCTGCTGCCTAAAAAGGCGGTTCCTTTCAGTTTGAAAACGGACGGTGATGTTATCTTCGGATTGGGAGAGGCAGTCGAGTCTCCCGTGGCAACAATTTCCTCACCGTTGCCAGCTTTCTCCAACCGTGTGCACACGACGCGGACACTTGGGAAGNCCAATATTGCAATTGGCTGCTATACCGGAGCTAGATATGCTGCTTGCCTTGGCCGAAGGCAAGATGAATGTCTATCAATTACAGAACTGTCAGTTAATCACTACGGTACCGAACAGCCGGAGCGCGTCAGTGTTCTCACATTGTCTATCCGATGTGAATAACACGATGGGACTGTATCATCCTAGCTGCATGGTTATCGGTAAGCCCTTTTCCGTGATCAATCGTTTCAAGTCGGTTACGTCTTATTTGTCATTCGGTGATGTTGAAACGAACAATACTAAAGTTCAGGAGTTTCGTTGGCTACTTATGCTGAATGTTGGTGGTTATTACGAATGGCGTCATGGCTTTTTGGTTAGTTTATCTTGTGAAAAATGTGTAATGTAAAGTAGTCGTCGGCTGAAAACATTTCTACGGTTTCTGATCGACTTCCCACTTTTATACTTTCAGTTCCCACGGTTGCTGCGCGATCCGGTGTTGGTCGCCAAGCGACCAATGATGGCGGTCCGATTGACAAACCACCCGCCCTGCGTATATGTGTGGCGGTGAAGCGGCGCTTATTTCTGTGGCGTTGGAATCCCGCAGCACAAGAATTCGTGACTGTTGGCGGAACGGACGATTCGATTTCTGTGACATGTTTGCCAGAGATAAATTTCCCTGAAGAGGTCCGATGTGTCATGTTTGTTGATGCTACTTCTGTTTTAGTGGGAATGCGCGCGGAATATTTGTTGGTATCCCTTGTCTCTGGTGAGGTGTGTCTACAGCCGTCATCGATGTGTTCTGTAACATTTTTATGACAATTCAACATAAGTGGTTTCTATTTTTTTCAGTTGATTAAGAGATAATAAGTGGTCATGGTTTGATTTATTTCCTTTCGTAAATACACCAACCATTAAAAAATCGATTTGGCAAAAGTAAGCTTTGGTATCCATAGGTTTCCAGAATCCGTGCGACACACTGGACGTGCTCCCTGCTGCAGTTAACGTGTCACATGAAACTCGGCTGCCTTCGAGTTGTACTTTTGAGTTTTCTTCAAAGGCACCAATAATACAAATTAGCTTTTTTTGCTGGACTGTTGTTGAAAAATGCTTTCCGGATCACGTTGATGATAGAGCGTATACATACCAGTGTCTATATATGGTTAGTTAGGAGTCAATGATGGAACGGCATGAATTGCATACAAACTTGTCTGTAATAATTTCTCCTTGTGGCTAATGAAGTTGTGTATGGAGCAAACCTCTAGGTAGCCAATCGTATCCGAATAAAGTTCTGCTGAGTTTGATAATACGGATGCGGTAATGTGTTGTGGGGAAAAAGTTGTTTACTTGTGGTTTATCAAAAGAAACGGAGGAACAGAAAAAAGCAGAGATGGAGGAAAAAGAATGAATGAAATCACATTTCCTGTTTAAGTGAAAGGGTCGTGGGAACGGTAGCGGGTGGTTTGAGGATGTGCCGGAGTAAATATAGGACTTTGACGAACCATTTTGGTCTTGTTTGGAGAAGTATCTGTAGCCTTTGACCAATCAGAATCGAGCTGCAAGGCAGCACCGTCGCTTCAATTGATCCGATGAGCAGTGGTTTACTCGTCGCCATTAAGGTAATTGGAGTACTGCATGCTATCCACAGATATGTGTGCTGTTTTAGTGCGGCGAATCCTTGACAAGTGGTGGAACAACCACATTCCTAATCACTATCGCTGTAGTCTGTCACCGTTTATTTAGGAAACTAGGGCTCACCTTGTACACAATTATTTGCCAGTTGGTGATCGACCCCTTATTCACGACAATGTTCATTAACCGTCAACTATTTTCGAAAGATCTTTCACGTCTTCGGAAAACATTTTTTATTTTGCGGATGAGCTAGCTCGAAGGAATTAAGGGAGGACAGACAAGAATAAGTTGGCTTTTAAGCTGTGATGTTTAATGGTTCCCGCCTTATCTTTAACCCGATCAATAGTTGATCCAGTGCTTTCTCAGTGTGCAGAAGCCAGAAAGAAGAGTAATATATTATTATTATTATATTTCCTACCCGTCTGAGGCCAGACTGTGTTCCAAAAGAAAAATGGTACAGTGATCTTTATAAAAGTAAAATGTTCCACGATTTGCGCGTTTGCCGAATACTCCCAGGTTGCCTAGACCAAGGCATAAAGAAGGGTAACAGAATTGCTGGGTAAACTTGTTTGACCTTTCAGTAGTGTATTGTAGATAACTGTAGGAAACAATATTGCCACGGTTTGGGAAAGAANAAGAAATATAAATTGTGATTGAAAGCCCGCGGATTGATTGAACGCTTGTCCTAGCATATCTTCACTTAAAATTTTCATCATCTTCCATGGGGGTGCCTCTCTCAGGAATCTGTTAATATTAACTAGATGAAAATGTTAACTCACGTTTTCCTATTTTCATTTTTGGCTCACCTCCAGAAAATGTGAAGTGGCTCCAAGTTTTTCCAGGGCAGTTCTATTTGGGATATCAAATTCCAATTTGTACATGTACCGTAAGCGGACAATCACTCTATCTTAAACGTGCGGTTTAATTCCTATTCAATGTTCGAAATTGTTATCAAGTTTTTCTTTTTTCTTTCCTCTTCATATCACAAATCAGATACGTACTATCGCTAATCCTNNNCAACTACCCCTGATGTGCCGTCTGTCTGGTTGTTTTCGGGCCCCAGAGACAGATCTGCATCTTGGTCAACTTGTACCCACTCATCCGTTTGTCACTTCCTCGCCGGAATCAAGGAAGGTATCTGTGGAACGAGGCTCGACCGCGGGTCTTAATTCCGGCCAGACTGTCCAACTGTGTGATGATCCGGCCCCGATCGGTCTCGGCCGAGATGATCTACTCCAAGTTATTTCCAGCACTGGCTCTGTGGGAAGTCTGAGGCAACAAATACGTTGGACCAACGTTCCGCATCAATTTCACGTTTATCCACCCTACATACTTGGGGTACGCTATCCACTAATGTAACATTTTGCCACTATGCATATGTGTGAAGTAGTTTGGGAGATTCGTTTCGGTACGCAAGTGTGCTCGTCATACACAGTCAATGTGTTATTTACCCCTGGAAGGTTAAGGAGGTACTGCACACTTGTTTCATCATCCTTGTTCGAAATCATCGATTCATGTGTAGCGAACCCAATAATAGTAAGCTCGGCTAGGCCAGCGGGTCAGCTAGTCGGATTAATGGAACCTCGTTCCTTGATTCGAATTCACTGGATATACATTGTTTATAATTCCTACAAAAAGATAAAAGTGCTGGTGATCGATTCGTAAACTCTATGCCGACCAAATACTTTCATACTTGTTTGTATGTGGTGCTGATCCGTGATAGGTTCACGATCCGCATGGTAGCTGGTTTTGCATTCGTCAGGTTTGTTTGAGATCAAGCGTACTTTGCCCGTCAAAGTTGAATGTGACCTGGTTACATTTTTTGATCTATATCCTGCATATTGTGAACGACGCATTGCCAACCTATGCTGGATTTCCGTTGCAGCCATTGTCGCCTCGCTAATGTGTCATGTGTTTGCTCGACCGCTTTTATCAGACTTTCGATTTAACCAGTTCCAATCGCGCTCGCGCGTTTGTGCGTATGTGTGCGTGTAAAGGAACAAAGCATGACCGTTTGCACCATCGCTACAAACTCAGTCTCAGTCGCGCACAGATCAATCTACTTCACAAGGAATGCCTGTAACGGTCCTAGACTTGAAATGGTTGATGGGGTTGAGTGTAATTATGTGCACACTTGCCATGGTTGCAAGCCACCGTGCGTCAAGCAAATATTTTCGCTGTCCTTGTTCTTATATCAGTCTGGTGCTGAATTCCATCTAGGTGCTAATTCTTATCATTTGTTCGCAGAGTGATACTGCCTGTGCTCGATTTGTGTGCTGACTAAATGAGCCTTTTTCTGCCTTCACTTACGTGCATATATGTAGGTGCACAATAATGTTTGAACTCTACATTCTATCGTATTCGTTCCACATTTGATTCATTGTTGTCCAATTTAACTAGATCAGTGATATGCCTAACTGAGCCGCTGATGACTTTCAGTGCAATAAAGTACAGACCTTTTCCTTTCCATGACCTGCGTTGCTTTCAGAGCCAATAGAATGGAATACTGAACTAGTCTTCTGAGCGGATTTATTGCATTGAGAAAACGAGTCGACGAGCGAACAATTGTTTACGAATATTCCTAGTCATGCTCTTACATATCATATGGTGGAAAAATTCTTACATAACGAAAGCCACTGGCTCAATTTAAGGTCAATAATCGGAGGAATATCCGAAAACAATTGCTCTTTTACTAACTCGTTTTCTCAATGCTATCATGGGAATATTCCAGCTCATTTATTACACTTGAATAAAAACCTTTTTCAATCCCAGTGCATGTTTATTTTCCCAGTGCATAAGAAAATAGACAGTTGAGAAGGGCGGTCAAGCTAAGACCTGACTTGAGGGTATGAAAACCCTGACCAGGAGACTGGCTCACATAGGTCCCATTAGGCTCCCTGGCTGGGGACCCAGAGATCATGGTCACCGATGGTTAGAGACACTGAGCGATATGGCTGGGTGTCGCAAACAGTAACTCTCATGAATTGACTCATCATTCTTGTAACTTCAGTCTATAGAAATGTGTTATCTTCCGTTCAAATCTGCTCTCAACATTCTAATCATCATTCTGCTGTTTTATCGAAATTGGCAACCAAAAGACAGCAACCAAAACCGGCACACGAAAGTGCATGGTTCATGGTTGTAAGAACTGAACTTTGCATAGGGGATTTTTTGTTATACCATCAGCTGCGTTCGCTCATTACTCGTGCTCGGAAAATTAAAGAACTTATTCGGGTCAATAAACGTATCCAAAACGACACAATGTACCAGCAAGTCGATCAACGGTCGTTTGAGTTGTCCCTATGTCATAAAGGTAGGTATATTGTTGCGTTGCTAAGCCTGTTCTGAGGAGCATTTTCGCCTAAACTGTCGTCATCTTTTTGTCATGGGGAAACAATAGCGCGAAATTCTACGCCATTTCGACCGTCTGGTATCATCCAGGCTTAGTTACGTGATTTGTTTCATTGTGCCTGCCACTAGTACGTTGAAGTAGGACGGGGAGAGGGAACTTGGGTTGATTAAGAGAGTAATTATTCATAAATTTCTTCAGTTCATTTAACCTACAAACGTGATGAGGTCGAATTTTCACATTCGCTTCATGATTTAAAAATGCACAAAAATGTACTTATTTTTTCTATCTCGCTTGTCTAGACGATGGACAAATTTCTTGAAGTGCGAATAGCTGAAACCTGTGAACTGATTCAACAATTACCGATCGCTCGTGTCCAAGCCTTGTGTCATTATCACGGCTGGTTGTACGCAGCTACTGCACCTGCCACTCAGCATCCTCAACCCGACGTGAGAACTCCCAGTTCCGGTTCCCCCGATTCACTAAAGTCGCCAGGGGGTACTAGTGTGGACTCTCTAGCCTCTCACGTGAGCAAATCAATGGGAAGTGGAAATGAGATTTGGTTGATTCTCTCAACTAACCGAATGCATTTGGTGGAAACTCTCATTCGGCATCAAGTGAGAAACACTGATTCCTCCCCCCAGCCCATTCACCCCATTTTTTCAAATGAACTGCATTATTGTTTGATTCAGTGACTGACCCCGTTTATCCACACAGAAGTGGTTGGTTTTACACTGACGTATCGTCCATGTTTGACAGATGCAATAAATAAATGACAACACACAATAAATCTGACTAACGATCCTGACTGAATAGGGTGGAACTCGTGAGAGGAAACAAAATCAGTGTTATGCCTTTATCTCCCTGTCATTCCCCCTGGGAAAATGGTCATCACAACTCACCTATCTGCTATCGTTACCATGAAAACGATAACGTTCCACTTTAAATTTTATTCTAACTTAATATAGTCAAAAGGAAATCAGGTGGTGTAATGGTGAATCAGCACATATTACAGGGGTCTCCGGTGTGTGATTTTTTCCGATCCTTCATAACAAATGCATGCAGCATGCAATGTTTAACTGCGAAATGCTGACACTCATCGGCCAAGATCGCTGTTTCCAGAAGGCCTCATTAATATGAAGGTTTGACACGCTTAACGTGAGTATAATGCGACAACGCCATCAGTTCCATATGGGAGATCAGACTGTGTATTTTCCAAACTTTTACAAGCACTGAAACGTAAGTTTCAGTTAGAAGGCTATACACTTCAACCGTCACAGAACATATTCAACGGGGAAAGTGTTTGCAGACAAAGACATTTCATTGTCCCAGGTTACGACAAAGTTCACTTGTTACCCTCTCTTTGTGAATAAACGTGCAAGATAGGGATGGTATGGATCAATTTCGGTGAGCATTTATACGAGATGAAATTGGGCGGCATGGGAAGCGTGTGTGTGAGGGGGGGGGGGNTGGAACGATAACGTGTCAGTTCTGAGTGCAGCGGGTGGTCAGAATCTGTGAGAGTGAATCGTCTCCGCAAATTGGACGCAGGAAATCTATGTAAACATTCAACACATTTACTGAGTTTTAGGCTGAGCCCCGACAAGGAGATTAGTGAATTTGACTAATGTTGTCGATGAAGGAGCTTGGATCGAAGGATGAAGAAATGGGTTAACACAGCACAACATCATCTGCATTTTTCAAACACGTGCATGGGAAACACCTGGAATATCAAAAATACACGCGAAAAATAAGTATGAGGATAGCACATCTCCTTGAAGAACTCCATAATTGTTGACTGAGGGTTTATATGCAGCTTTCCCAAGTCTAGTGGTTTGTTCTCTATCAGTAAAGTAGTTGCATAATCAGGCCAATCATTTGGAGCATTCGAACGATCCCAGTTTTTGCAGCAAAAATTGATCGACCAATGGAACCAAATACTGAAGAGTAGTCAAGAAAAGCACACCGAACGGACTTAACAGAGTAGTTCAAAAAATTAGTGGTAAAATGAATAAGGGTAGAGACTGCGCCTAAAGCGGGCCTATTAGTCTTGTAAGCAAACTGTAGAAGATCATTGGGAATTTTTATAGTGTGCAGTGGGCGTGTGAGGATCTTTCTTAGTGTACGTCGAACATACTGCTGCAGTGGCCAGCTGGTCCGATTTCATTCATATGGCACAGTTCGAATCAAGTCGCTTTCCGATTGGTTTGCAAAAATTGAGTTTGTCTAATCTCGTTCTTAAGTTTGTTCTCAATTCGGCATTTCAGTCGCACATCCATAAGCAGCTTTCGTTTTGTCAGCGCACTTTTGGTCAGTATTTCTTTGAGTTACTTTTTTAACGATTCTGGCCCTAGTGTGAAACCATTCGAACATCATTTTTACCATTACCTTCTCCATACTGGCTTTGTTAAGCGTTCAGACTATTAGCTCATTATGACCCATGCATCTTGATTACAGGAATTCGATTTGGCTCAACGTTTGGCCTCCGTGGCCGCGTGGACTGGTCAGACCCCGATTGAGACGCGCATGATCGCTATTTTGCACGCATGTCATCTCTATCGACAACGCGCTTTTCCTGAGGCCTTGCGAATTTTCACACAACAATTGATTGATCCTTCGCATGTTCTAAGTCTTTTTCCTGATCTGATACCGGAAACGATTCGATCCCAAATTCATTATCCCTCGGGACTTGAGGTGAGTTTGCTTCTGTATGTCCCACGATGCTCTCCATCACGAAACCACAGTTTAAGGTGCGTGTGTGTGCCTTCCGCATGTACGCTCTTTTGCTAATGAAGTGACAGTTCTTAGATGGGTTATTTTTTATTGCTGTATCCATCTTAGTGTTGTAAGTACCGCTGACTGAATTAAATTGATTCCTTCTTATTCACCGACCTATTATTGATGCTAGACAAACCGGATCATGATTGCTTTTGCTTGCAGGTTCACAAGCATCTTGTTGTAATCGAACTTGACTCGCATACCTGTGCTACCATGTCGTTCCAATTGAATGGATGCGTTTCATATGACCGAAATTCAAACACCCTGGGGTTATAAAACAGCCTTTTAGTACGTTTGCTCCTCTTCGTTGCTCGTCATACAATGCCCACTTGCGTTGATCTGATCTCCTCGTAGCACGCACATATTCCCACCCGTTCAGTTTACGGGTATAATTAAGCCATTTTTCAGTAGGTTCTTCTTCGTGTTTACAAAAGGGTTATCTTCGATTCGAGAGTAAACTAGCAACAGATAAGAATAGTACGCTACATTATATAGCATAGACAAATAACCCTTAATGAAGGCTCTATTCGTTTCACACTTGGATCACGCTTGCTGAAAATAGAAACATCATAGTGTGCCCGAGGGTAATGTTAATATTATTTAAAAAAATGGTTGATGTCCTGGTCACCAGTCTCCGGATGATAATACTTTCGAACTAGTTAAGTTATAATCGGAGACAATTATCCATTACCTGCTACAGCCCACATTATAATGCACAACTGAACGTGAATGCCAGTTTTTTAATCGTAAGCATTCTATTCCGAAATCGTCATTCCGATTATGTTTATTTAGACCAGTAGACCAAGTTCCGACTTTCGGGATAGACGGTAACTTCATTTGTGGGTGATTATGGATCCAAATAAAGCGCGTTCAATTTATTCTTTTACTTTTATTAAATACATGATTCTCCTATCAGTGGGCCGGACGAAAAAAAGGGGACAATCAAAAGATTGCCATATGGTGCATAGAAACTCTGTATCATCGGTTGATGACCTTTTCTATTTGGTCACCTCTTTTTTGGTATCAATTTGACAAATATCACTGTTCATATGTGCTTTCTCAGCTGCATAGATCTAGTGTTCTTAAAGTAATTTTTGTCACCTCAGAATTTCCATTCCGATATGGAATTTATTTCGAGATTGAATGAACTTGAAGCTTTGTGTATCGTAAAGTAACTAACTCGTTTCTTCAATTTCACTCACTTCTATCCTATCCACCCCATCCAGTTATTGGACGCTGAACGTTGTACCAGTGCCTTCGAACCCCTGATCACCTTCCTCCTGACTTGGCGACGTGTTCTGAGACAGGCTTTATCATTAAATCACAGCAATCAGCCTTCTTCTCTCACTACAATTCGTGGTCCGTTCTCGGATCCGACTAGGGATTTAGCTGTGACATGTTACCCAATTTTCGAGACCAGCTCATGCACAAATTCGGCCCTAACTTTGCTGGAATTAATTGACACCGGTCTGTTGAAATGTTATCTGGCAACCAACAGTGCGCGAGTTGGTCCGTTATTACGTCAAGCCAATTCCTGTCAACTGGAAGAATCGGAGAAAACATTGTTCGCAAATCATCGCTATCAAGTAAGTGCGAGAATGGTGTCGATTGTCCAGTTCTTTTCATTGTTATTTTCGTTATTTGGCTAGAGATGTTCAAGAGAATGTTATAATAATTGAATATGATTGATTCCGATCAACCCATCTACTTTTTTTCACCCCACTGGATCCATGCGGTCGACCGAAGTTATTACAATACGATACAATACAACACCGTTTACGCCATGCTGTGTAACTCGCAAAGGTGCTGTAGATCAAATAAATTTATTGCGAATAATTTTACTCCATATCTCATTATTGTATATACCGTTTGATTAAACAACCGTGGCCTACAGAAGCGATCTGTTTTATGTGAAACGGTACATTTCGTTGCTTGCTAGACCTCTTCTTACCGTTTCGAACGTCTGAGATATATTGGTCAAATCAAGTACAGTGCAACCCTTTAGCTACGGATTAAGTTAATCCGTTCAAGTATTTGCTTGTTATTTACCACTAAAGTCCTAGGAATTGTTGGACCGACCTCAGTGCGCGAAGTGTAGCATGGGACAAGGTTGGTTTGTGTGGATTTATATGGTGGTTTGGTTCAGTTTGAACAACCATTGAGAGGAAGAATTAGATAGATGTGAAAGTTCAGTTCAGTCTTTACAACCATTAACCATGCACTTTTGTGTGCCGGTTTCGGTTGCTGTCTTTTGGTGCCCCATTTGGATGAAAGAACAGAACAAAGATTGAAATGTTGAAAGCTAATTCAAGCGGGAGATGGAGAAGTCATGTAGAGTGGTGTTGAGAGAATAATGAGTAGATGCACGAGCGCCACTGTTTTCGACTCCCAGCCATATCACTCAATGTCCCTAATCATTGGTGACCATGATCGCG